CTGCTCCGCGCCAATATTGATTTATCGACAGCTATCCGCAGTCAATACACTCAAAGCGCCTTCATTTAATCTCGCTCTCCAAATTTCCCACCGATCCCGTTTCTTCTCGCTTGGGCTAACCGGCAGATGGTTACTCGTCGCAGCTGCAGCATGTGCCCTGCGTGTACCCTTAAGAGCTAATGGAATGTCCGTCTCGACTCCCACCTCCTCTACCGGCCCTATGCCACCCAACGGCCCGGCGGACCTCGATCCATTGGATGCAGGTGAGAACACCGACCTGTTCTAATTCCAGTCAAACGGACTTGCTAATAACCCGTCATGACATAGCTGATTATGACCCAATCGACCACTTAAACGCGATTTTCTCCCACCCCTCCACCCTCTCCTCCGTGTCCCAGGTTTCTCAAACCCTCCGTGAATATGAAGACGAGCTCGACAATGACATTGCCACCCTGGTGGAGGAGCAGGTCACCTCCAATGCCGAGAGCGTGGAGCGCATTCAGGCAGCCAAGGCTGATCTGACGGAGCTGTTCAAGAAAATCGACGATGTGCGCGACCGCGCATCCAAGACGGAACAAGCGATCACGGAGATGACGGCGGACATCAAGCAGCTGGACAATGCGAAGAAGAATCTGACGCAGTCCATGACTGCACTCAAGAGACTACAGATGCTGACGACGGCGTACGACCAGCTCCGTGCGCTGAGCAAGACGAGGCAGTACCGGGACTGCGCCCAGCTGCTGCAGGCGGTGATTCAGCTGATGGCGCACTTCAAGTCGTACCGATCGATTGACCAGATTGCGCTCTTGAGTAGGAACGTGGCTGATATTCAGCGGGAATTGCTGGAACAGGTCTGTGAGGACTTTGAGCTGGCGTTCGCCAAAGGGGAAGTGGCTCAGAATCGAGTCACGCTATCGGAGGGCTGTCAGGTCATGGATGCCTTGGGGGAGAGCGCGAGATCCAGGCTGGTGACCTGGTATTGCAATTTCCAGTTGCGGGAATATCGGCAGGTCTTCCGGAATAACGAAGAGGCGGGCTCGTTGGACAATATCTCCCGGAGGTATTCGTGGTTCCGGCGCATTCTGAAGATTTACGATGAGGAGTATGCGGCGATCTTCCCGGCGTCTTGGAGGGTCAATGAGATTCTGGCAAATGTCTTCTGCGAGGGAACCCGCGAGGATTTCAAGGGGATTCTGTCCCGATCTGTTCGGAACGGCCAAACGCTCGATGTTAATTTGCTACTCTCTTGTCTTCAGGAGACCCTGGACTTTGAGCATTCCCTTGAGCGCCGTTTTGCTAGCCCAGCCCGGCCCTCCACTGACACCTTGGCCTCAGCCGAGACTCCTGTCTTCGGCCAGGCTATTTCGGAGGCATTCGAACCATACCTGAGCGTATGGGTTGAAGCTCAAGACAAGCAGCTGGCTGCGCTTATACCCAAGTACCGGCAGCAACCCATTAGGCCACCGGAGGAGGAATTCGATTCCAACGTCGTAATATCCTCATCTACAGAACTCTTTACTTTCTACAGACATTCCCTACAGCAGTGTGCGAAGCTCTCCACCGGCGGCAGCCTTGCTGACCTGGCCAAGGTCTTTGCCAAGTATCTGGATCAGTATGCGCAGCAAGTCCTTCTGAATTATATCAGCGAGCGGCCGACAGGACATACACCGTCAAATGTGCCGTCCTTGGAAGACCTCATCTTGGTCCTCAATACAGCCGATTACTGCTACACCACTTGCAACCAGTTGGAAGAGAAGATCAAAGGCAGACTCGACAAGAACCTCAAACAAAGCGTGGACCTGCAAAGTCAAGCAGACTCTTTCATGGGCATTGCATCTGCCGCAATTAGGGGTCTTGTCCGGAAAGTCGAGATCAACTTAGAACCCTCCTGGCGCGAAATGCGCAATACTCCCTGGAGTCGGCTCGAGGCCGTCAGTGACCAAAGCTCTTATGTTGGGGAGCTTCTGTCCAAGATCCAGGCCACATTTTCGGAAACTCTGCAGTTCTTGCATAAGCAGCAGTATGCTAGAGCGTTCGCCGACCATGTTGTAGAGCTCGTGTCGACCCAGTTTATCTCGAATATATTCCAATGCAAGCCTATTACGGAGACTGGCGCCGAGCAGGTATGTTCTACGCCTCTCACTTTGTGAAATGTTGTTGATTGAAGGCTAACGTACATGACCAGATGCTTCTGGACACATATACTCTCAAAACCGGCCTTTCCTCCCTCCTGCCCGCACCAGCCCCAGCAAGTTTCGTAAAGCGCGTCAACACCAGCTTCTCAAAGATCGAAACCCTCCTCAAAACCCTGCAAGTGCACCCGTCACCCCCGGAAGCGCTCGTTCAAGCATACCTCATCCACATTGCGGACCGCAACAACGCAAACTTCCGCAAGATCCTCGACCTCAAGGGCATCCGCAGCCGCCAGGAGCAGAACCACCTCGTGGAGCTATTCCAGATCCACCGCGCCTCCGATCGCTACGCCTCGAATCTCCAGCAGAGCAACCCCGTCCTGACAGCCATGCAGACCACTCCTGCCCCCTCATCGACATCCGTCTCCCAGGGGCTGGGACTAGGAGCCGCGGCGTCCATTGGCGCCTCGAATCTACCTACTCGCTTTGACCCGTCCATGCTCGGGTCCGCCCTCATCTCAGCGGCCAAGGATGGCGTCGACCGATTTGGCACGCCGATGAGTTCGTCCAGCGTGACTAATCCTGGTGGCAGTAACGGCGCAGCATCGACTTCTACGCCTTCTGGAACGATGGGACAGGGGCAGGGTCAAGGTGGAGACATGAGCTCAAATTTGAACGAGAATTTGAAGAATATTGGAAAATTCTTCCGGAGAGATCTGGGAGGGTTTGGTGGGAGGTTTGGCGGTAGTTGAGGATGGTTGTATTCGCTTGTTGGAACCAGTAGAGACTATATATCCCCATGGAGAAATGTACTTTTTACACATCACAAGTATTGCGCTTCGATACCAGGAACATGGGCAAAGAAGGTCTCTTTATGGACAAAGATAATATTCATTCATGGAAGGACTACCTGCTACAGCAAAGTCCAACTCAGGTACTGAAATACTACAGGTGCAATTGCTGATTAAGTCTACGAAAGGTGTGCGTCAAGATTATCCTGTAACCACAATCAGCATCCAGTCATAAATGGGCAAGTGCATGTGATGGCAAAGAGGCAATAGATAGAAGTAGGCGTCATCAAAAAATTAGAGTGTTTGTTGTTGCGAGTTTTTGATCTTCAAGGCACCCTCAAGGGGCTCCGAGTTAAAAAATATAATCATCCGCCAGGACAGGGAATGTGCAGGTGTAGGAAAGAGGAGGGAAAATGAAGGGAGAATGCTGGCTTACCTGCTACTCATCGAAAGATGGTGGAGCGTGTCTACGTCCACATCTAGATGAGAATGAAAAGTCCACAAAATCCATGATAGTCATTTTTCATTAGTCCGACCGTCAAGATCGGACATGGAATGGTCTAATACATGGCAACTGTAGCTCGCGCAGGAAATTTGCGACAAGTTTAGTCGAAGAGGCCGAAGCCCATGTCTTCGTCGGACTCCTCGGCCTCCTCTTCCTTCTTCTCCTCAGCAGCAGGAGCAGCACCACCGGCAGCGGGGGCGGCAGCGGCAGGAGCGGCGGAAGCGTAAGCGTCAGGGTTGGCGATACGGTCCTTGAGCTCCTCAATCTCGGGCCAGCTGTAGTCGGTCTCGACGGCGACGGCGAGAACCTTCTTGTAGCCGTTGACGAGAGAGTGCATGATGGAGGGCAGAGTGGGGTAGTTGAGGGCCAGGGAGACCGTGGTGATGGTCTGGATGGCGCTGCTGAAAGCATCGAGGAGCTGAGACTCCTCAATGTCCAGGACATCGGCGGGGAAGCACTGGCCGTTGTCGTACACCTGGGCGATGGTCATACCGTAGGTGAAGGGCGAGATGTTCAGCATGTTCAGCAAGGTGGCCTCAGAGGGACCGACCTTGGCACCGGCCTCAACGAGCTTCAGATCGGTGGTAATTTCAATGGTACCACGAGCAATCTTGGTGGGGACACCGAGAGCCTGGAAGAAAGAGGTCTTGCCGGGTTCCATACCGGTGTTACCAGCGGGAATCCAGACGTCGGCGGGAGCGACGGCACCAGCACGAGCGGGAGCAGCAACACGGTTGGCCAGGATCTTGGTCTTGACATCCTTCAGGTCACCGTTGGTGAAGATGAAACCAACATTGCCTATCATAGAGAAGTCAGCAGACAATTCCATATCCCATTGTTTCCCGTCCCGCATGGGTAAATGTATTCCACTCACCCTTGACGTGAGGAAGCAGACGCTCGTACTCCGGGTTGTCGGTGATGAAGCCCTTGATGGCACGGCGAACCTGGATTTATGGTCAATGGCTGTGGAAACAGTAAGATCAGGACGATCAAACATACCATAGTGTTCTTACCCATCAGGACGACGGCCTGACCACGGAGAGCGACACGGATCTCGTGCATCTGCTGAGAGCTGACATTGTCGACACCGACAATAAAGACCGTGTTGTACTCATCGAGAAGGCTCTTGAGCTTCTCGAAGTAAGCGGTCTTGGAAGCAGACTTGCCCCCCATGTCTTCTTAATTCGTTGAAGATAGGTTATTTAAGGGCAAGGAGAAATTTCGTGAAAATTTGATGTTGTCCGATATGAATCGTGACGTTGAAAGTTCATCGAGAGAATTTCCGCCGGCGGTCATTTTGGGGAAATTCTTCGTGTGGATTAGCGAAGCGAAGCGATCACGTGAGCTCCACCCGCCGCGGTGCAAAAATGCCCAATGCAGCGTTAGGGCCGAGGTCAGTGTATATGCATGTACGGAGTAGCTGTCACGAGTCGACGACTTATACAAGTCTCGTTGGGGTCTGATCGCTTGCATCGATCTGTTTCTCGGATTTGGTCGTTGTGCTTGAACAATCATCTAGTCAAATCTACAAAATTGTTGGGTGTATAATTCACGACCCGTACCTCTCTCAATATGGTTGTCAACTATCAACATCCGATTCAATGCATCAGATATGTAGAGAGGCAAACAGCTGGTTTCCACAATCTGTTTGTCGCTTCTGCTGGCTCGAAAATATACACCTACGCTGCTGAGACCGGAAAACAGCTCGCTATCTGGCCCGAGGCTGCCCATGCAGCAGATTCTACAGCAGTCGGTGTAGCACCAAGCCCTGAAGGGGACGAGCCATCAGCTAAGAAGAGAAAGGTGTCTCCAGCCCCGGAGCAGACAGAAAAAGCATCAGAGTCGAACGGTCAATCGAAAACCTCAACCGCTTGGTCAACGATCCCCATCTTGGCCGTGTCCTCTGACGGCAACTATGTGGTTGCCGTCACTGGTGAAGACAAGTGTCTTCGTGTCTTTGAGATAGAAAAAAGTGGCCATCTCAAGCAATTGAGCGAAAGGTATATCTGTTATTGATTGTTTATAATATAAGCGAAATGCTTACGCTCTGGTAGGCACATGCCCAAGCGGCCATCTGCGATCGCCTTGGTGGACGATGATGGGACAATCCTGTGTGGGGATAAATTCGGGGATGTCTATTCTTTACCACTGATCGACACTGGGAAATCAAGTATCGCGCCCAAAGTCCCTGCCAAAATGAAGCGGAATCAGCCAGCAGCAACGACTTTGACTGTTCACAGTAAGCGAAACTTGGCTTCGCTGGAACAGCAGTTGCGACATTATGGACAGAAAGAGAAGACCGCAGAAGAAAAGCCTACGTCTGCCTTTGAACTTCATTTAATCCTTGGGCATGTGTCGATGCTCACAGACTTAGCCTACGTATCCATCCCAGTGGATACAGCTTCGGGCCGAAAGCGATCATACATCTTGACTGCGGACCGCGATGAACATATTCGTGTTTCTCGCGGGCCGCCTCAAGCGCATATCATTGAGAACTACTGCCTGGGACACACCTCGTTCGTTAGTAGCTTGTGCGTTCCCGAGTGGGCACAGGAATATCTTATTTCAGGCGGAGGTGACGATCACTTGCTTGTATGGAGATGGAATGAAGGCCGTCTGGCACACAAGGCCCCCTTGGCTGAAGAAGGCACGGGTTCTGAAGTGATTGTTCGTGGTATCTGGGCCCTGTCACTTACCAAGCCCCCAAGCTCTCAGGAGAATGCGAACATCATCCTCGTTGCATTAGACGGGTAAGTTCATTCATACGGTTCATGAATGAGACTCATGATTCATTCCAGGTCCTCGAAGCTTCTTTGCTTTACACTTGAGTCTGATGGCTCGCTGAAAGCACAGAACTCCATCCAGGCTTCTGGCAACATACTTGACCTGACAGTTCCTGCCGACCACAGCTCGATTCTAATTTCCATCGACGCAGTGCGGGAGGCCGGGTCCACACAAGATTGGAGAACTACTCCTCCCTCGCCGCCGACCTTGGTCGAGGCGTTCCGCTTGAAGCCAGCGTCAGAGGGTCTCGATTGGGAGCCCACATCAGAGGCGATCACTGCACAGATAAATTCCGAAGGTACCTCCGAGATATCAGCAGACCTCGAAGATAAGCAGAAGGAGTTGAACGATTCGTTGTATGGTTTGGGCAATCTGCGGAAAAAGAACCATGGCGAGGACGACTAATACTTAAAGATAAACTGTACAATATTTCAATCAGCATAGAATCTTGCAGAAATACTGAGCTGTCTCACTATGCTTTCTTTTCGTAGGACGAGTGTTTTAAGAGCTTCTGATACTGCGATTTGAGTACACTCTGCAAGATCGATCGATCACTGGCTTGCTGCCGGCTGGGCCCACACTCTAGATACAGCCCGAGGCTCCGAGCAGTTAACTACTGAATGTCACCCCGCCTCAGACCATTTTTCTGTTTAACAATATAACTTCCACTCGTATCCAAAATGCAAGAAAAATTTGAGCCATTGAAGAACGACCTTTTGCTCAGAGCCGCAAGAGGTATACGGTGACTCGAGATTCCGCGCGCAGACAATTGAAGGAACTGATGTAATCTTTAGGCGAGCGAGTTCCGCGTCCGCCAATATGGGTTATGCGGCAAGGTATGTTCCTCGACGAATATTCTACTTTGTGTATCACTGGAGCCTATCATTCAATTACTTCTTGTCTACGTCTGGTACTAAGCAATCAACGCTCTAGCTGGCCGCTACCTCCCCGAATACCATGAAGCAAAAGGAAACCGCGATTTTTTCGAATGCTGCCGGAACCCGGAAATTGCATCCACGCTGACCATCCAGCCCGTGGATCGGTACGATGGATTGATCGATGCTGCGATCATCTTCTCGGACATCCTTGTCATCCCCCAGGCGATGGGAATGCAGGTCGAGATGGTGGACAAGAAGGGACCCCACTTCCCCGAACCTCTGAAGTCGCCGGACGACGGACAATACGAGAAAGTTATGCAGAAGGAGGTCAACGTGAAGGAGGAGCTGGACTACGTGTACAAGGCCATCACGCTTACCCGGCACAAGTTGAAAGGCCGCGTGCCTCTGATTGGCTTCTGCGGTGCCCCATGGACTCTGCTCTGCTACATGGTTGAAGGCGGCGGGACCAAGCTGTTTGTGCAGTCCAAGACGTGGATCTACAAGTATCCGAGGGAGTCGCAGGCACTGCTGCAGAAGATTGCCGAGATCTGCGTTGAGTATCTGGCTCTCCAGGTTGCCTCCGGGGCGCAGCTCGTCCAGGTGTTTGACTCGTGGGCCGGAGAAATGTCCCCTGCGACTTTCAAGACCTTCTCCCTCCCGTATCTGCGGTACATTTCTGCCAACCTCCCCAAGAGACTGGACGAGATGGGCTTGGAGCGCGTGCCGATGACCGTCTTCGCCAAGGGGGCGTGGTACGCTCTCGAGGATCTTTGCGAATCTGGCTATAATGTTGTCGGTCTTGACTGGTTGCACGATCCTGCTGAGGCGATGCAGATTGCCAAGGGCCGCGTAACGATCCAGGGCAATGCTGACCCCGGTGTACTTTACGGTGGTCGTGAAGCTATCACCGAAGCCGTCGAGGTTATGGTCAAGGGCTTCCAAGGTGGTAAGCAAGGATGGATTGCTAACTTGGGTCACGGTAAATTCTCATGTCGTGTATGAACTTCATCCATTCAACCACTAACAGTAGCAGGTATCACTCCATTTGTGCAACCGGACGATCTCAAATTCTTCTTCGAAGAGATTCACCGCTTGACGGCCGCATGAATAGACGATATACCCTATGTTCAGGCATGAAAAAGGATCGTAATTGAGGATCTAACCTATTTACACTATATCATTTGTATACGTCTTCGTTAGGAATGCTTAAACAGCGATGTCCTCATTCCTATAACGGCACGATTAGTATCAAGATCTGCAATCGCAAGAATGACTAGCGACGGAATAATGTCGCAAGGGAACAGGAGTCGAGACGGAAAGACGTACCAGAGCTCCGGCTTCTCCTTGATAAACTTCTCCATCAATTGCTTGCACTCCTCATTATCCAGGACAACCACTTCTTTACCCCGATTCAGAAGATACTCCTCGCCGCCCATGAAGTTCTTGTTCTCCCCGATGACAACCCGCTTAACCTTGTAGAGTATGCAGGCACCGGTGCACATGTCGCATGGTGACAGGGTGGTGTACATAGTCGCACCCTCGTAGGCGGAGGCGGGAAGACGGCCGGAATTCTCGAGAGCAGACATCTCGGCCTACGATGAGTTAAATGTGAGCTTCGCTTGTTCCGGCGTACAGGAATGGTCGACGGTCATCCAACGCAGAAATAGATTGTATCAATCGGGACTAACATGCAAGGTTGCGCTTCCTTTCTGAACGCGCATATTGTGTCCACGGCCGAGGATCTTGCCGTCCTTGGACACCAGAGCTGCACCGATAGGGACTCCACCTTCAGCGGCACCTGTCTTTGCCTCCTCCAAGGCGGCGATGAAACCAGGATCCGTTTCCATTGTGAAAAGTTTCGAGATGTGAGTACAGTGTGTCAAGGATAGCAAGCTCAGTACACGAGTTCTAAAAGAAAGGATGAAGTCTAGATAAATAGGTAGTCAATTATCAGAGGTGGGTTTTAACGGGTCCACTATCTCGGTACAGCTCGTCGTTGATAACTTCCGAGACTGACGAGCATTGCTCTCATCTCAAAGATTAGCCGCATCTGGCTAACGACTCACGAGTCACATATGTTTCGCTTGAGTCCGAGCTTTCGTATCAACTAGGTTTACTTAGATGTGGAGAGGAAGTGGCCCGTAGAGTACGGTATAATGGCTAAGATAACGATTGTGTCAATGAATGTCAGGAATTTCCCCTCCTTCCTTTCTGGGCTTATCTCTTATCGATAAGAATCGCAGACATTTAGCCACCTTCAGTACATCTGCCTGAGGCAGAGAAACAGTGCCACTGAGCACGGCGGACTCTTGGATACCTTAAAAGAAAAAGTTAGACAGAAGGTACCGCGGTCTTCAACCATATGAACAAAGGACGTGGGTGGTAAGGCTCTCTACAAATTCGCCTCCATAATTAATCAGCGTAAGATTCGTATCACTAGTCAATGGTCAAGACTGTTAACAAAATGACTTTATCTAACTGTTAAGGCGGAGTGATTATTAGCAATCTAAGAGTAAGAAGAGTCCGGGTCAACTGAAAGGTAAGGCATGTTCTTCAGCAGGGGTGTATTGTTACGTACAGGGCTGGTGGAAGGCAGTGGAAAATTACTTTCAAACAGAGCTATTACGCAGCAAAATGTGCACATTGCTCATAAGAAGTAGTTGTTATTAACAGCGTATTACCAAATCTCAGTCAGCCATCCAAAGGCTGCGAAGCCGACGGAAACTCATAGAATTGCATCGAAACTGTCAGAATCACGCTCGGGCCATGGATTCAGCCTGTGACGGGGTCAGTCGAAGCAGCGAGAAGGGCGTATCGAAACATTTTTGGGCTTTGTAAGGCTTGAATGGTGAGGATTCTCTTCTTCTTGAAAAGCAAGAAAAGCAACCCTGTAATCCTCTCTTCCTCCTCATTTTGAGGCGACTCTTACGACTAGATATACCCTTCATCCCTTCCTCCCGACTTCCTCGGAGTTCTACGATATCAGATCTCCGTTCCAAATACGCGGATCTTGAAAACGCCTGGCGTATCAGAGAACATCCTTTGCAGCAGAAAAGTGGTTCTTTGGTGCCCTGCCCTGGTAATCAGATTACAGACGTTACGGTTCCAGCCTGAACAGCCGCCTGTCGCCGCTCCTGTCTTGATAATCTTGAAAGGGCCAAAACCTCAGATCCTTTCTCTCAACTTCAGTTCTACCTTCACTCCCTCTGAATTTGATATTCGACAATCCGGTCGATTTTCTCCTGTACCTCTCCTCTCCTCTCCTCTTTTCTCCTCCACTTTTTTACTCGTCCAGATATCGGACAGTCTTTTCTTAGACGAAAAGTTTTCTCTTGTTGTCGCTAGTTTCAGCGAACACTCACTCATCGTGAATTCCTATCTTTTCACACAAGTTTCATTTTAGACACATATCACAATGGTCAAGGATACCAAGCTCTATGATGTTTTGGGGGTTAGTATCTGTCACTTAGAATTTTCCATATCAGGACTGAATTGACGGTTTGATTCTCAGGTGCCCGATACAGCCTCTGAGGCTCAGCTGAAGACCGCCTACAAGAAGGGTGCACTCAAATACCACCCTGGTATGTCATTGTCACTGATATTCGCGATGGATGGACTTGGAGTCTAACAGGATGTTGTATAGACAAGAACGCAAACAATCCAGAAGCCGCCGAAAAGTTCAAGGAAATGTCCCGTGCCTATGAAATTCTTTCAGATCCCCAGAAGCGTCAGTTATACGATCAATTTGGTGAAGAAGGCCTTGAAGGCGGTGCTGGCGGTCCAGGAATGGGTGCCGAGGATCTCTTCGCTCAGTTCTTTGGCGGCGGTGGTGCGTTCGGTGGTATGTTCGGTGGTGGCATGCGGGAACAAGGCCCCAAGAAGGCCCGTACCATTCACCACGTACACAAAGTCAACCTGGAGGATATCTACCGTGGCAAGGTCTCAAAGTTGGCATTGCAGAAGTCCGTCATTTGCCCTGGATGTGACGGCCGTGGTGGTAAGGAAGGCGCTGTCAAGTCCTGCACTGGCTGCAATGGTTCCGGTATGAAGACGATGATGCGCCAGATGGGCCCCATGATTCAGCGATTCCAGACTGTTTGTCCCGACTGCAATGGAGAGGGAGAAATCATCCGCGAGAAGGACCGTTGCAAGCGCTGCAACGGTAAGAAGACCATCGTGGAGCGCAAGGTGCTCCATGTCCACGTCGACAAGGGTGTCAAGAATGGCCACAAGATCGAGTTCCGCGGCGAGGGTGACCAGATGCCTGGCGTCCTACCCGGTGATGTCGTATTCGAGATTGAGCAGAAGCCTCATCCCCGTTTCCAGCGCAAGGACGATGATCTGTTCTACCACGCTGAAATCGACCTCCTGACTGCTCTCGCCGGTGGTTCTATCAACATCGAGCATCTTGATGAGCGGTGGCTGACTGTCAACATCGCTCCTGGCGAGGTTATTACTCCTGGTATGTTTCTGTTCACTTATTCTCCGTCTGGTTGAGTTCGCTGTAGCTAATATCTTCTAGGTGCC